AAATAACTTTTTAAGAACTTTGCAGTTTTTCCATTCCACGGATAGTTTAGCCCATGGCTACTAGTTTAAACATAATTATTCTAAACTGAAGTCCCATAGACCCGAGATTCAGTTCAGAGATAACGAGTGAAAAGGAGAGAAATAACACTTGTATTTAAATGAAAACAAATTGATTACAATAAAATGAAAAGTGGAGAAGATGGTTGTTGCTCGTGAGGAGTCTCAAGTGGGTGATACAGAAAGAAGAAGAAGTGTTGTCACTTAACTAAAGTTAAAACTATACAAATAAAAACTACAAAAATAAACTAAGTGATCTCTTCTTAAGGAATTCAATCCCTCAGAAATTTGATGGATGTCTTCGTGCTGGAACGTCCTATTTATAGGTAGAAGAGCGAATGGCAAGCTTGTAAATTCTTTGGAGTCGGTTTCTTGACTGCATGAAAGGGGCAGTGTGAATAGTGCTTTGAGGGGCGCACGTGGCTGGATAGGACAGTTTTTGTTGAGATTTGTCTTTCCTTCTAACTTCCCCCATGCCTTGCTTTCCTTTTCGGCCAATAGGAACCGTTTATTTCCTGTTGTGCACCTTTCTCCTTGGTTGAGTGTTGCCCACTTGTGCTTAATTGGAAACTTCTTTTCAACGTTTCCTGAAAAGTGGTCAGAAAGATTGAGTGAGTGAAGCAGGTGTATTTAATGTTCCAAATTTGTTCCCCTTTTTATATATTTTCTAAAGATTACGTCACATTTCGTTCCCCACTGTGTTTTTGTGATAAAGATATAAAACATGTTCTTTTAGTGCTAAAGTTGCTCATCAGGTGAGGGAACGGATGGTATTTTGCCATCAAAATGGGCTTAGATGGGCACGAATTTTTGTCCCATCAGGGAGCACGAGATCAATGAATGCCCAACCCTTATGAGAGCTGAGCCGTTCCAGGTCAATGGAGTCTGGTACGATCCAAGGCCACCATATAATTTCCAGAAGAACCAGAACAATGCCCAACGAAGCAACTTTCAAAGGAGAATTCAAGGGGGGTTTGGATTACAAATCCAACAATTACCTACAACCTCCTCCTATTCCACATAAGGAATCGTCTGAATTAGAGAAAGCGATGTTGCAGCTTTCTAAGACCACCAATGATCACATCCAGACTACTGATGCCTTCATGAATGAGACAAGAGCCTACCTGCCTACCATAAGAACCAAGATGCTTCCATCCGGAACTTAGAGAATCAGATAGGCTAATTGTCGAGGCAGCTAGCTGGAAGAAATCAAGGGCAGTTTCTAAGTGATACTGAAGTGAATCCGAAGGAACACTGCCAATCCATTGTAACCAGGAGTGGTATTGTGGTCGCTCCTCAAGAGAAAAGGCTAATGAAGAACCAGAGAAAGAAGTGGAAGCCCCTGCAAGCATTCAAGAGCCAGTGCAAGAAGGTAACGGAGAGGCAAAGGAGAAACCTGTTGAAGCTCCAAAGAAGCTGACTGACTACTCTCGTTTTGAGAAACCTCCTTACCCTATGAAGCTCAAGCAACAAGCACAGAAGCAACAATATGTCAGGTTTTTAGATATGTTTAAAAAGTTTCATATTAATATTCCTTTTGTTGAGGCTTTAGCAAATATGCCTAACTATGCTAAATTTAGGAAATATTTATTGTCTAGAAAGCATAAGTTGCAGGATTGTGAGACAGTAGCACTTACTGAAGAGTGCAGTGCCATCATACAGAAGAAATTTCCACCAAAGCTTCGAGATCCTGGGAGTTTCAACATCCCAATTGCGATAGGCAACACTAATGTTGGTCGGGCACTCTGCGATCTTGGAGCAAGCATCAACCTGATGTCGTTATCAGTGTGTAAGTCGTTGGGAATTTCTGAATTGAAGCCAACTATGGTCTTTCTACAGCTTGCTGACCGTTCATTGAGAAGGCCTAATGGAGTCATAGAGGATGTCCTTGTTAAAGTTGACAAGTTCATCTTCCCTGCTGATTTTATAGTGTTGGACATGGAGGAGGAGAGTGAAATACCCCTTTTGTTGGGTAGACCATTCTTGGCTACAGCTCGAGCTATGATTGATGTGGAACAAGGAAAGCTAGTCTGGTGATTGGCTAGGAGGCAGGTTGAGTACTTGGACCCTGGGGTACTCAGTTGACGGGGAGCATATCAATGTTGGGTTTCACACTTGAAGGGGAGATTGTTAAAGTATTCAAGCGTGATGAGTTTCACATTGGTTGGTAATGGGCTAAGCAAAGAGTATATAAGTGAAAGGACTCATGAACTCAATGCCTTAAGGTTTTGGGTTGAGATATGGTGTCGGACTCACTTGCTACAGTTAGTGTAGCTTAAGGCATTGGTGGTGTCCCCCGCCACGGGCTTTCCCCTGGACCCACCTAACATGGAGAAGGATGATGATGGAAGGTAGTTATGGTGCCTTAGGAGAGATAAATATTGAGTGAAAAATGGTGGAAGCTTGCTTTGCAAAGATAAAGGAGGGGTTGGCCGAAGGTGGAGTTAAGGAGAGAAAGAGAGAAAAAGGGGTCTCGTGGAAAGAGCATGGGAATATGAGGAAATAGTTCAATTTACATATAGAAGTTTAAGGTAAAAAAACATGAATTTCCTCCTTATGGAAAAAACGAAAGGAACATGGCTCATTTGCCATTTTTTATTGAGAATTTAATAATTTATGTCAATCTAATAAATTTTATTTATTGAGAATTAATAATAATTCATAATGCGACACAATAAATGAAAGCAACATGACTCATATGCCATTTTTTTCAAAAAAACAAATTGCCCAACTGTCATGTGAACAATAAAATTTTCCAAATTGTCACGCATATAAGTTCACTATTATAGGTAACAAACTGAGTTTGATGACGTGGCATGTTTTTTGTGGCTACTTAATTCACTACTGGTAATAGCAAATTAGATGATTAAAATGTCAATATGCTTTGAGGAAAAACAAGACACATGGCAAAATCTCTCCCAAATTCCCTACAAGCCATAGTGAACTATAAGAGAGAAAATTAGTGAGAAACTTTGACTTCTCGAATCACTAATGTTACTTGTTCGTTTTGCTCAAATTAATGGCTTACACTTTGCTAGTAAATTCCAGCTAGCATGAATGATTTTAGACAAATCATTTTTGCTGAAAGATATTTCATATCATTGATGATTTTAAAATATAATTAGTGTTATAAATACAATTTAGTTCAACTAAATTTGTATTCAATTAGTTAATTATTTTACTTTAATATATTTCAATTAAAGTGATTTAAATTGATATAATTGAATTGATTATATCAAAAATAACTGATTATTAATTGAGGTTGCTATTTGGTTATTCATATTAATTAAAACAAAAGTACAAATTATATAATAAAGTATGTTGATTTTACTTTTGTCTGTTTCTCAAACAAAAACCTCTCATAGGTTTTTTTTTTCAACATTGATGAAAAGTCAAAAAGCAAAACAAGTTTCATCCCTTCGCAAGTTTCAATGTTGCAGAACGTATATTACCTCATTTTCTCTCTTATAGTTCGATTACTTGTAACAATTTGGGAGAGATAGCCGGTGTCATGCTTTTACTCCGAACAAATAGACATTTTAATCACATAATTCACTATTGGTGGCCACCAAAAAGGCGTCACATCAACAAACAAAGTTTGCTAGCTACCATAACAAACTTGCATGCATGCATGGCACTTTAACAAATTTTAATGTTCACGTGACAATTGAGTACAAAAATTTGTGAAAAATGGCATATTATAATCACCGTTCCTAAACAAAAATAGTTAGACTAACGAAAATCGTTAAATTAACAAAAATCAACCGTTAAAATTTAATTTCAAATTTTAATATCATTATCTAGAGTGTTCGCAGTTTGGATTGAATCAATTTTGAAAGCAAAAATCATCTGATCGAATCCCTTCAGTTTAATCATGTAATCATCCATTCAGTTTGGATTTTCAAATCTGATCTGATCCAATCCAATTATATTCGATTTGGGAATAGATCGATTTTCAATTTTTTGAAAAGCCTAAGATTTAAATGATGGTTATTATGCAAATAACATGTCTTTTGTATGTATCGACTTTGTAAAGTTTGTATGATGATTATTGTGCAATCTAAAAGCATTGTACAACAAAAAGTTGAATTACCATCTTTTAACTTTAACAAAAAATTTATTATATGGTTCCCTGAAATACAAAGTGACCCAAATTTTCATCCTATAGAAGAGTTGCTGTACAACAATAACCCATGTAATAAAAATATATTATGTATCAAGCACAACCCACTTTCTCCAACATGATGGGTTAATAGGTCTTGGATTTAAAAAATTTGCTATATAATTTTTAGACTATGATTGAAGAAAGGCCCAAGTAGATAAATGGTAAAGTTAGGGAATCACTGAATTAGTTTGGATTGGATCGATTTTTACCAACCAATTCAAAAACCGATTCAATCCAATCAAATTTTACAAATTTTTTTATTTTCAATTTTTCGATGATTTAGATCGATTGATGAACACCCATTATCCTATGTAAAGTATACCACCTTAACCACTAGTTTAACTGTCCAACGTAAGCAATCAAGTCGAACTTTTAGAACTTAGAAGTCTTGAGTTTGTCATTCCAACTTTGACAAAAGCCCGATTCAGGGACAAGATTTTAAAGGTTGCATTTAAATGGAGATTAAGAAGAAAAAAAAATTATTCTTTTGAAAGATAATTATTTTAATTAAAACTACTAATTTTTATTTAATATTTAAATTTTTTTTTAAAAAAAAACTTTCACTTTCTGGCATCAATAATTTCTGTTTCTCTCATTTTAAAATAAAATTATTTTAATTAAAATAACACAATTTTATATCGTTTCAAAAAGAACAAACACTAATTCCTTAATAAAAACTTCAGAAATTTTGATATACAAATGAAAACTTCAGAACTCAAATATATTGTTGTACTTTTTTAGATTCCAAAAAGTAAAGCCAGTTTAGTTATATCCATTTCAAGATACTACAACCCCATCAGGCATCAACATTCTAAAATATGAATTTACAATTTTCATTCTGCTCCAAAATATTGTTGTGCATTAATAATATAACTATTTAAATTCGACTAATCATCCATCACAAAAGACGTATAGTTGTCATCACCTGGGTTGCAGATCGGTTGACCTTCCGATCAGTAAAAGTTGCCAAACCTCAAATATTGAAAGATCTACCATATCATTTAAAACCAGAGAAGTTACAACGAAACTCAGCCATACATGTATGTTCAGCGTCTATTTTATACGAAAGGACGGCATCCTTTCAGGAAGATTAAAAACAGGTAAACATATACAACCCAAGCTAAAAGGACCCAAAAAAAAAAAAACGCAGGCAGGATAAAAAAGTTCATTTGCAAGAAATTGATCAGTAAAATAATTAAACTTAAATTTTGACACATACACACCTTCATCCGTATCAATGACATATGAACTCAATGAGCACTCACAAGAAATGGGTGCTGGCAAACTCCACACTCGATGGTCTCTGAACCGGAGCTAGGTACCTGGACCTGCAACAATCCCACAAATGTCCCCTTATTAAGATAATGATATACGTGTGCGAGTGGAGTGAGAGATTCATAGAAGACTTAAATAGGATGTTGGTCCCCAATATATCAAATTTTGGTTTTGGTCTCTCTTTAATTTGGATTCAGCTTGTAGTCCCTTGTTATTTAAAAGTGACTAATTTTAGTCTCTACTGTTAACATGATTAAGTGATGATGTGGCAAACAAATTGCCACATAATGCAAGTCTTATAACTCCACATGGCATTAAATAATTTGCCCCCCAACCCCAAAAAAAAAACCCAATGTCCCGTGTCACCCCCTCCTCTTGTTACTCCTCCCCTTTCACCCCCAACACTACTACCATATACCACAACCCCAACAACCACCACCATTATTGCCCACTCCACCATTACAACTCCGCTGCATACACCAACTCCCTTATACTCCCTTATACCCCCTTTCTTCCCCGAAACCTCCCCTTCCCTCCCTCAATTCCACCAAAGCAACAAACCATCCAATACAAATCAACCCCCATCAGTACCACCTTGAAATGGACTGAATAAAGCACCCCCTCTCCCATGCCAACCACTAACCCTCCTCTGAATTGACCTCCACAAAGGAGGGGGAGATGCATGAGGTACTTTGCTGTAATGTGGCTGTTGGAGCAATGAGATCAGTGGTTGATGGCAGTGTTGCTTTGGTCTGTAGGTAGCAGAGCGGCATTGTAGGCCTGGGTGGCAGCACAGTGGTTCATGGGTGTAACAACTCAAAACAACAATTGGCAGAAAAGAATGTAAAACTGAAATGATATTTGTATTCCAACTTCTATAATATGTTTGTAATTACACTGAACCTGAATATCCAGATACAGATTGATACTCACACAGTGAACCTGAATTACAGAGACAGTTTGGTATTCCGAGCGTAAAAAGATAAAAAGAAATAAATGATAGTTTCAGAGGAGATGGAGAACCTCTGATCTCTCCCAAGAGCCTAAAATCCCAATTGTTCCAAAAGATACCCACAATCACATTTCCCACCCCTTTTATCACATTTTCCACTCACATTCTAACCGGGGAACTGATGATCGATGGAAAAGGAGTCTTCCTATGAATCCTCAAAGGAGGGTAAATCCTTCCATTGGATAAGAACTTCTGTAACACCAGCTGCTGTCCTCCTCCAAGCTAACACCTTCTCGGGTTCAACCACTAACTCCAGATCTGTGGTCAACATAGGGGGCAATGGCCGGACATGATCAGTGGCAGAAACAGTTTTTTTGAGCAAAGAGACGTGAAATACACGGTGTATATCATGCAGGAAGGGGGTAATTCAAGCTTGTAGGCAGCTGCACCAATTTTTTCAACAACCTTGTAAAGGCCATCAAATATGGGGCTTAATTTTTCGTTTAGTCTCCTTGCCAAAGATTTTAGCCTGTAAGACTGTATACGCAAATATACTTCATCACCGACTTCAAATTGAATATCCCTCCGATATTTATCAGCTTGTGATTTCATTCTAGACTGGGCCTTGCATAATTGCTGTTGTAACTCGTGGAGAACAGCATCTCTTTCGAAAAGCATCTTCTCAACCTCATCCACCTTGACACCATGGCTAACCCGAAATAGAGAGGGAGGGTCACAACCATATAAGGCCTTAAATGGAGAGACTCTAGTAAAGGATTTGTAAGTGGTATTGAACCAGTATTTTGCCCAATGTTTCTGTTTAGTACAACAAAAACATCGAAGGTACATTTCCAAGCATTTATTAACAATTTCAGTTTGCCCGTTTGATTGCGGGTGATACGCAGAACTAAACTTCAATTGGGCGCCAGCTTGCTTGAACAATTCAGACCAGAAACAGGTTAGGAAAACTAGAGGTGTGCAAAATAACCAAAAAACTGAACGGAACCATAACCGAACCGAACCGCCCTTAAAATAACCGGTTTTTAAAAACCAGTTCATGAACCGAATCGGTTTTTAGAACCAGATTAAGAACCAAACCATTTTGAACTGAACCGAACCGTTTCCGAACCGAACATTTTTCAAACCACCAAATTGATTTTTATAATTTTATTTTTTAATTTTTTAATTTTTTTTCTTTTCAAAATAGGGTCGACCCGAACCGGTTCAGAACCGAACCGAACCGTTTCCAACCACACCAAACCAGTTTTGAACCGAACCGAACCATTTAAACCAATTCGGTTCGGTTTTTCAAAAAATTCGGTTCGGTTCGACCCATGCACATCCCTAAGGAAAACTCTATCCCTGTCAGATACATATAGCTTGAGGGAACCCATGCAACTTCACATATAGCTTGAGGGAACCCATGCAACTTCACCACATTTTTGACAAACACCAGTGCCACTTCTTGAGCAAATAAAATGAGCAAATAAACCCCCTATAAAATCCATAGAGACTTCAGTCCATACTTGACTAAGGATGGGTAGTGACTGCAAAACAAGTTTGAAGATTTATTTTGCTGGCATACATGACAACCAGCTACGTATTATTGAATAACTTTCTTCATTCCCTCCCAATAAACTAGCCCAGAAATTCTTTTCAAGGTCCTATAGAAGCCTGAATGTCCTCCCACGGGAGTGTCATGAAATTCCTAGAGAATCTGGATTAAACAAGAATTCTTAGGAAAGAACAGCCTACCTTTAACATCAGTTTACCTTCTTGCAAGTGGAAGTCTTTATGTTTGGAAGGGTCATCATTAGCTCAAGAATTATCAGTCTTAGCTTCGGATCAGCCTTTTGCTCCTTTTCAATATGCTCCAAATGACTTAGGTTAACTACAGAAATGGCAGAGTGCATTTAGCAGGACAGGGCATCAGCCACTACATTTTCACGACCAGGTTGATATTGCACCTCAAAGTCGAACCCTAAAACATTTTTGTTGCTCTTCACCTAATACACGTTGATCCATCAGGAACTTAAGGCTTTTCTGTTCTGTTTTTATAACAAAATGTCTCCCTAATAAGTAGTGTCTCAATTTTTGGACAGCAAAAACAATGGCCATGAGTTCCTTGTCGTATACTGACTTCCCTTGGGCACAAGGGGAAAAGCCCTGGCTAATAAAGGCAATCGGTCTTCCCTCTTGCATCAATGTTGTTCCAATTCCTTTTCCTGACACATCAGTCACCACGACAAAATCCTTTGTAAAATCAGGCAAAGCCAATGTACGAAGATTGCACATAAATTGCTTGAGCTGATCAAAGGCAGATTGTGCCTCTGCATTCCATTGGAAAGCATCCTTCTTGAGGAGGTCAGTGAGTGGCTTTGCCACCTTCCCATAATTGCGAACAAACTTTCTGTAGTACCCAGTTAACCCCAAAAATCCCCTCAAGCTCTTTACATCCTTTGGAATGGGCCAATTGGACACGGCCTGTGTTTTTTTTTTAATCTGTAGCCACCCTACTTGAGCTTACAACGTGTCCCAGATACTCTATTTGATGCTGACCAAATGTGCACTTTTTTTTATTAGCAAATAAGTGCTACTTCCTCAGAACCTCCAATACTCTCCTTACGTGATCAAGGTGAGACTCCTCTGACTTGCTGTAAATTAAAATATCGTCAAAAAACACCACGACAAATTTACGAAGGAATGGCCTAAGGACCTCATTCATGAGATATTGGAATGTCGAAGGAGCATTCGTCAATCCAAAGGGCATTACCAAGTACTCCTAATGCCCCTCATGAGTCCTAAATGTTGTCTTTTCTATGTCCACTTCCCTCATCCGAATCTGGTGAAAACAAGATTTAAGGTCTAGCTTGGAAAAAACGCTGGAGTCACCTATCTCATCCAGTAATTCGTCAATTACACATACCCTCCAGCTATTGTCTCTTTTTATAATATACACATAACCTCCAGCTATTGTCGCTTCTTTTTTATTAAAATTACTAGGCTAGAATAAGGGCTCACACTGGGTCGAATCATACCGGAGTTTAGCTGTTCAAATATATTTTTTTCAATTTCTGCCTTATGATAAAATAGGTACCTGTAAGGACGAATGTCGGGTACGTCACTGCCCGTCTTCAAGAGAATAGCATGGTCCTTACTATGTATAGGAGGAAGGCCAGCGGAGACTTTAAAAACATCAACGAACTCTTCCAACAGTTGAAAAAGCTCTAGCCACATTGAAGGCTCTTGAGTTGCTTCAGGAAGCTCCTCCTTTGTTGTTAACCAGAATCCTTGGCCATCATTTCTTAAAGCTTTGACCGCAGACTTAAAGCTATAGTACAAGCCAGTTCTGGTTCTGCCTTGATAATAACCATTTGACCTTCGTGTTTAAATTGCAAAGACAATTCGCGGAAATTTGCCTTCACATCATCACCTAGTCCTTGTAGCCAATAAAGTCCCAATACAACATCTGCTCCTCCCAAATCAAAAAGAGAAAGATCCTGAACAATTTTGACTCCCTGAACCAGAATCTGGACATTACAACACCTCCCTTTGCAGCTTAGTCATTCTCCATTACCCATTACTATCGAAAAAGAAGGCGTAGGTTCTATATTCAACTGAAGCTCCTTAGAAACTTCAGTTTTTATGAAGTTGTGAGAAGCCCCACTATCGATCAACACCACAATTTGCTTTTCCCCTAACTTTCCCCAAATTCTCATCGTTCGACTAGTGGACAAGCCCAGCTTTGAGCTGACAGCTGCAATTTTGTCTCCTCCGTCTCATGACAATCGTTTCCTCCCACTCGGGCTGCATGTCTCCTTCATCACCTTCGTCCTCTACTATTAGCACATTCAGTTGTTTAACCTTGCAATGGCGACCTGGATTCCAATGTTCTTCACAAGTGAAGCACAATCCCTTGCGAGACCTCTCTTGCCATTCTGCTTGCGAACGGGTTCCTAAGCTCCTGTTGTTGCTGGCTTGGCTCTCCGTGATTCGCTGGGTTTAGGACGTGGCTGGGTTAGGGTTGGAATGAGCTGCGTTTTGATTTTGAGAGGCCATCGTGGAGTTGGAAATTGAGTTAATGGGGCTGGAACGCTGGTTATACTGCCCCGCATGCGAACCCGAATTTGCAGACCCCATTTAAGAGTGGGTTGCCCATCCCTGACCCGATTTGTAAGTTCACCCTAGCTTTGTTGACCTAAAACCTCCCATTCCTTCTGCGGCCCAAGCTCAGTTTCTCCTTTCAATATGTTGGGCCTTCTTCATCATGATAGGTAAGTTGTCCAATGGGTTCAACAACAGTTCTTCCCTGTGCATCCATTTAGCCCCTTAAGCCAAATGCCTCTCAACACATCGTCTTCCACATAGCCTAAGCTTCCACCGATGCGCTCAAAATCTCTTCTATACTCCTGTATTGTCCCTCTTTGGTAAAGACTCAACAATTCATGGAGAAGGTTTCCTTTGAGATATGGTTGAAAGCGACTCAAGATCTCAGTGTGAAATGATCCCCAATTAGCATCCACGACGTTTCTCTCCCACCATTGATACCAGTGGAGAACTTCACCTTCAAGAATGTTCATGATGGCACTCAGCTTTTCTCGATCCGCCAGTCATAAACTCCTCCTCCCGAGAATATAGGCAATTCCAGTCTTCTTCCATGATTCTCTCCCTCGTTTCTACCGCTTTCGGACCTTCCGCCCTCGTTCTCATCCTCTAAGTTCTTCAAACCTCCTTCACGACCTCCACGAGAGCTACTAATAGATCTTCATTCGCTCCGTCTAGCTACAAGGTCCTGGAGTGTCCTCATTATATCTGCCAAATTTGCCTAAATTTGCCTCGATCAGATGAATTCCCTCTTCTGTTCCCCCTACTCTGGCCTCCAATGCTTCAATTCGTAGATCCATGTTCCTTGTCAACACCATTCAGAGCTCCACGAGAAAAGGAGCTTTGATACCAATTGTAACAACTCAAACAACAATTAGTAGAAAAGAATGTAAAACTGAAATGATATTTGTATTCCAACTTCTATTATATGTCTGTAATTACACTGAACCTGAATATCCAGATACAGATTGATACTCACAAAGTGAATCTGAATTACAGAGAGTTTGGTATTCCGAGCGTAAAAAGATAAAAAGAAAGGATAGTTTCAGAGGAGATGGAGAGCCTCTGATCTCTCCCAAGAGCCTAAAATCCCAATTGTTCCAAAAGATACCCACAATCACATTTTCCACTCACATTCTAACCATTTTCCTTAACAGCCTTCTCTGTGATTGCTGAGTCAACAACTGTGGGGCCAAATCCCTTGAATTTCTTCCTACGGTAGACTTGCACACTTGGTGGGATTGTATCAATGGGTTACAAGGGAATGAAATGCTGCAACTTTCAACACACACCAAGCATCACAAATGGCACCCAATTGCTAAGCAATCTTGCAAATAAATTAAGGAAGCATTTACTGTGATAAGTTGGGATGTTGTCTTGTAACAAATGGCAAAAGTTCTCTAGGGTGAGACTATGGTTTTTTGTGGGGATAATCGTGGCAAAGGCATGGACTTGAGGGTGTGGTTAGTAGGCTCCAGGTGCTGCTCGTGGTATGAAAGTGAAGCAGGCTAGGCCATGGAAGTGTACAGAGGCTTAGCTATTGAACTTGTGTGGAGGCTAGAATTGTTGTGGCATCAGCAACTAGAGAGAGAAAAAAGAGGAGGGGGAGAAGATGAACAGGGTTGAAAATTTTACCACGTGGCTCCACGTGGATTATCAAAGATACATGGAAAACATTACTTGGACATTCATTAGCCACATCATCAGTTAACAGAAACATCTTAATGGCAAGGACTAAATTAGTGCACTTTTTTAAAAAATTGGACCTAAACCAAAACTGAAATTAAAGAACCAAAACCAAAATTTGACATATTTATACGGACCAAAATCATCTTTAAGCCTTCATAAGAAATTAGACAATAGATTTCCAACCTGAAGATGCACAGTGCAAATAGGACATGCAACTTCTTTCATCTGTCTTCCAGATCCATCAGACTTGGAGCCTGGGAACCAGACCACTTAAATGAGCCATGGGCATTCATTTCCATATATTAATTCAAATATCCTTCCTTTCCAACTAAATGCCCACAAAACAGATTCTCACTAAAATCTGCCACCTTGTTTGACAATTGATGAATCTAAACTATACAGCAATTTTTACAACCCAGGCTGCCAGAATTGAACTCAAATTACAATACCTGATGTCTTTCGATTCCTCTCCAGCTCCTCCTAAAACAAAATTTCACCAATAAATGAAATCACCATCTAATCATGCTTAGCTTACAGATGTATGCTAAACTAAGTAACAAACAGGCGAATTAAAGCCTTCAATGGACAACAAAAACCACACAGAAGCAACATTACTGCATGCTACTATTATTTACCTGAAGTTTCCTGGCAAGATCCTCATGTCTCTGCAACACAGGTTTACTTGATGACTCTCTAGCACTACTCAGCCTCTGAGTCACTTCTGCCTAAACAGAAAAGGGAGTATAAGATCCCAGTCTTTCCAATGCTCATAAAACACTGCTTAAAAATATAATGCATTACAAAATGGCTTCTACAGTTTCCAAGGTTAATTACACTACAATTGAAAAATGGAGAGAAACAACCAATAAAGACCCATTGAAGAAGGACAAAAATATATTTATATTCCATCTAGGCTCTAGTGGCTTTAGAACCTCAGTAACTATGAAGGTAAACATATATTATGCATTGGTTTATGGGCTGGGAGGGATGAAGAGAAAAGAATACAAACATTACACATACCATGCATCGGTCGCAAACTCGTACTGGCGGAGCATTCTCATCAGCAGTAAGAGGAATTCTACTATTTGTACATTTGTCACAGAAAATATCTCCACAGTTCCTACAGTGATGCTGTCAGAAGCATGGAGGATTAAACATTATCAGCCAAGCACAAGAAACAGAAAATGTAAGATAGAATAATAGAATTATAGAATACAAATAAAATAAAGGTATATATAAATTATAAAATAATATGTATAGAATAGATATAAATGAGAAAAGAAACAGGAGATCAACCCTGCGAACAAAAGCCCCAAAATCAGTTCCGCATGCTGTACATTTTGAGACAGCTTCATCAGGGACCTAAACAAATATTGAACATTATTAGAACTCCAATTTAGTATAAGCCAAAATGAAAAAAATGAGCATAGTTTAAGTTGATGTAAATTAATATAGTTGACTAATTCATTTTCATTAAGATCAAGTGACATTTAGGCAATTTCCACTTTCCAAGAGTTAAAAGTGTAAAAAACACACTAGCATTATATAAATTAAATTGACAAAACTAATGGTAACAACAATGCATACTTGTCCCAACAATAACAACCAACCAGCATATAACACACCGCATCCTAGGAACAATAAAAATAGTTCGACGGAAACATTTTAAGCTAAAGTCTAATGAGCCTTTATTCATGGGGAAGGGTAAGAGGGTAGGAAAAAAGATCATAAAAACTAAATTTGCATGTAATGTTACCCAATGATCCTTCTCTTCATTGGCAGGTTTAATCAAATTCATCCAATCGCCAAATCCTTTCTTTTTTTCTGTAGGCTGTTCATTTGTTTTCAATGATTCGGCAGACCTCCCGTTTCCACCCATTTCCTTGAACTGCATAAGAAAACAAGGAACATTGGGACATGTATAAAACAAACCCAAACATTGAAAAGCAATTATGGAGAACATGATAAATAACAAAGGCCAAAGAGAAAGAAAGATTTAAAAAAAAACTCATTAAACTCCGACTTAGCGAGGGCAATCCTTCTACACAATCTTACCTTTGAATATTTGCAAAAATACTATTTCCCGAATTCGAACCTATGACCTTTCAGTCACAAAAAACGGTTTTACCACTGCTCCAAGTTCGTCCTCTTAGAGAAAGAAAGAAAGATTTGAACTAGAAAATTCTTACATGGGATTTAAAATAGATTAGGGAATGACCAAGAATAATGTCAATAGAAATGATGAATTTTTATTTCATTGCAAGAAAGATGGGAGAAAATATTTAATTGCGTAACTTGATATTAAACAAGAAAATCTTTATACGGGATTTAAAATATATAGGAAATGGCCAGGTATAATTCAATAGGAAGTTATGAATCTTATATAATTGCAGGACACACTGTATATAAATATATGACAGTTTTAAGACATATGAACTAATGTGATTAAACCTTATATTTCATCTTTTGTGCAATGACTTCTATAAAAGTTACAACTCCTAGAAATCACAATTAATGCAGAAATAAGTTAATGATCTTGAACTTTTGCATGTACGCTACATGGTTAAAAATGCCATTCTACAAAACAAACTTGTTGGTAGCCTGGTACTATTGAGGATTTGGGGCACAGATGTTATTTCCCAGTATATCAACAGCCAAAAAGCATAATTAGGAGGGCATTTGTTATTTACAAAGGTTCAACTTGATATCATCTCAAAAAGTACAGAGAATCAAAATTATCAATAGAAGAATGTTATCCTACTCCTAAATTGTTTGGATCTTATTGTGTGTTTGGATTAGTTTATTTTGAGAAAATAATTGTTTTTTTTTTTCTGTCAGCTTCCTAAGAGAGATTTGGAAAAAAAAAAATGATAATTTTCTCAGAATAATCTTACCCAAGCATGAAATTAATCAAACTCATTTTCACTGATAATTCCTAGGCCTAAGCATGCACTAATGATGTGATATCCCGGTTCCACCTAATGTAAATTTCCGACGTAAAGAAACTCATTGCTAACTAATTATTAATTTTCGATCATTTATTTAGTCAATTATAAGTTATAAAACTCCTTTTATTTAAACCATAGAGTAATGTGTTAGGAATGACATAAATGTCACTGTTTCCTTTAATGTTTTCCCCTTCTTAAAAAGGGGCAATTTAGACTTTTATTCCCTAAGACACAAAGAAATACAAAATCGGAGGCATAACACCTCACTTGACCGTCATCTTCTAACCACTATGAACCAAGAACTACTCTACCCTCTCCTCAAGCTCTCCTCAGCCAACATCCAAAATCATCATCAACAATACTGCTCATCTGCCATCTCCCTCCTACCCTTTACCTCTTGGGTTCCGAAACTATCCTCTCAACAAAAGGAAGATCTACACACCAACACCTCTCATCAGGCTTGAGTTATTTTTGAGTAGCATTCTTTGCATGCCTATAATCCTTCCATCCAGAGCCTTCCAAAAGTCTACTGCCTCATCTTGCTGTGTGGAGCATCTCGAGAGAGGGTCAGAAACCAGCTTTTAGGTGGAGAGTGGGAGTTGCCTCTGTCTTAAAGAAACAAAACCGGTAAGCTCTATGAAACCTCCTCCTTCCTTAGTATTTTCGACCATTGAGGTGAGACTTGGGAAATTCTTGACTATAACATCAATGCATGTAAAGGAGAAACCTAGCAGTGTTAATCCAAGGTCTTGCTATGTCCAGTCAATACATAGAACTGATGGGGGCTGATTGGGTAAAGATATTTGAGAGTTGAAGTCTGTTGTACATTGTTAACTGGGCTGAACTAAATTGTAGGGTACTTAATCTGTACATGCATGGTATATACTAGATGAATTGTCTCATAGATTCAGTGATAGGCAAAATTAGATTACACTATCTAAAGTCTAGTTAAAGCTATGTTAAATCACCACAAAATGATTGGGTAGAAGTGTTGTGTTCTGTTTTACCTTAGAAGAAAAAGAGGAAGAATCATAAATGCCTTGGTCTGACCGAAAATAAGAGTATGATTATATTCTGTTAAGCTATGTTTTCTTTCATTGGAGGGCTGCAAGGGTGACAGAAACACTACTTGTGACTGCATGTATATGATGCTAGGATTACCTGTGTGCATATAAACTGAAAATGTATGTATTGGTTGTGCTCTAGGTGCAGGTAGTGGCCCTAAAGGAGCCTCAAAGCAGGATTAAAGGTTAAGTGAAATCTACAACACCAAGGTAAGTGTGTAGCTTCCTTGATATTGCATTGATATGCTGTGTATGACCTTGTGTGATTGAATGTTATATGAGTACACTGTTATGAGATGAACCACCATGGAGGAACTCACACTCCATGGCTCTATGTTAAAGAGAATTAATCCACAATTGAGGAAGGCGCACCCTGGTGGCTCTATTTTATACACCATTGGTGGACTATGATCCCATGGCTCTATGTTAAAATGAGAATGCTGATCTGCTGTACTTTTATATGTATTCAGATGCCGTGAGTTGTACTAAGCTGTTGATGTTTATTGTGGAATGTTACCACTTATTGAGTTTATCTCACCCTTTATTGGGCTGCTGTTTTGCAGGTTGTAAGTGAATTAAGATATGCTGGGAATGGACTGATATGTTGGTTACTGTCTGCTAAATGAAATGAACATGAAAATGCTGTTGAATTATGAAAGAACCCTTGTAACTAGGATAGTGATTTTGGAGACTATAGTAATATAGCCAGTAGATGAACATGTGATATGATGCCGCATTAGTAGTTTATAACTCTTATGTTATGATATATGTATGAACAATTCTGATCTGCTGTGAACTCATGAATGGTGTATAGAGATCTCTAGGTCCAAGGTAACATGTTAAGTAAACCCCATTATAAATTGTGATCGTGTGAGAATATTTATAAGAATGGACTCATGCACATAAACATAATGCTAGTTTAATTTTTCCATCAAGTAGGACTAAGTGTCTCCTTGTTATGTGCTGATGGGTGTACATGATAAGAAAATCCAATCAATTCAGGGAAACAGAGTGGTGTTGTATGCAAGTGCTTCCAGGCCTATACTCGCTGAAGTGAGCAGATCAGCTATTAAACCCGATGATGTATTCCCTTTGAATTTGCTTGCTGATGGCGCTCGCCTAAGCGAGCAGCATCTGTTTGTGAGACCTTCTCAGGTGCAGCTCGCCCCAGCAAGGAGTTTAGCCAGCGTGCCATGATAAACATCATAATCCTATTTTTAATGGTAACAATACTCCATGTGTATATCTGCTGTACCCAGATTTTACTAGGTTACTCTTGTGTTTTCTTTTCGTTGGAATAATCTAAGTGCCATAATTAAAGGCATGAAAGTTAACCTCCTATGAGTATAACCGTACCTAGTATTCCTAAGTTTGATCTGAGTCGTGCTATTAATTGTTTAAATATATGTGTATTTACTAATGAAGACAAATACTCTAATACAATTAATGTACAGCCCTTGGATGCATACAAGGGTTGTCACAAATGATTTAGTCCAAAGGACAGTGTAAAATTTTGATGCTAAACGAAAGTAGGATAGCTGAAATCAACCAACATCATTTCCCAACCACACAGACAGACACACACAAAAATGGAACACAAAGAATCAATGTTCTAAACAACCAAACAAATGATAAAAAGAAAACGGAAACAAAAAGCACAAATGTCTGGAGTTAGGGCTTGAAATCTTTAACCTTTGATAAAGAATAGATGGTCAGGTCATTTAGAGAGAAAAAGTCGAGGCAGGTAAGTAGCACCAAATACAACAAACGTTAATAAATATTCAGATAATACTAACATGTCATAGGTAAAAAGAAGCACTTGAAAGTACACAGCATTGCAACTCGTACAAGGCAAGCAACTTAAACTATACCCTGTCTCCCAGCAGATATTTATAAAATTCCAAGTCTTATGATCTAATTTATCAGCAATATAACTATTGTCATACAACAAGGATGAAATTCTCCAAATTACCTGTATGGTAGCAGCAGTTACTGTATCCAAAAGCGTGTTGGTAGTGTAACTATTGGATTGCAATCTGATTTGTCTCGGCTCAATGTCCACCGAGCTCTTTGACCAGAATGCAAAGGTAGATGAATCAAATCTCTGCATAATTCAATTAAAAAAATTTATTATATTGAAATTAATTAACTACAAAAATTAATTTCAAAAAAATATATATATAGTCCAAATTTCACGAAGGAAATCAACAAGCTTACTTCACAACTTGTTATGTTCTCAAGAGGATATATTCTCAATGTTCGACTGGTATTTGGATCCAGCAGACGAATTCCATCAAAACCAATCTAAAGAAAACTCAAAAAACAAAACAAGTGGAATTTAAGCAAAAAGTAACACAAGAATAAAACAAAACTAAACAATGCTATCATCTATCATCTTCATACCTGACAGAGAACATCCATAGCACTCTGACCACCCGTTTCCACCAAAAGCTTAACCCGAAACTTTTGCACTCCGCTGTAGGCATCTTCTTTGGTACCATCAACTTTGGGAACCGCTTTCACAATCTTGCCTGAATCAGATGGAAAGCCGATTGATCTCCCGTAATCATCAAAACCGGACCAACTCGACGATTTCGGATCAGTATCACGGGCTCCGTACGGTTCCACTTTGCCACCTTCGTAAGCAAACACTCCCTCTCCGTAATCTTCATCGCGCCGGTTCTCGTATGAATCCGAATGGCTCCGATTCAAGCTCCCATAGCCATCGTCGGAATAAGCGCCACCGTGATCGAAGGAGGTTAGGTGTGGAGGAACAGAAGATCCAGAGTATGGTGGAGGGGCATAAATCGGAACCGCTTGATGCTGATCATACGGTGGATAATAAGATTGCTGTTGATAAGAAATATGAGACTCGAAAGGAGGAAAGGGAGTGGCTTGAGATGAAGAATTGAATGAGGGAAAGTTGGTGTTAGAGGTTGGAGGGTATGAAGGAGCGGTTGGGGAGGGTGGCTCGGGGGTGTAAGGGGTATAATCGGAATGGGAGTAACCGAAGCTGAAGGGAGGTGCGGATGCGTAAAGGTTTGGAGGTGGATCGGTAGGGTTAGAACTAGGGTTGGAGTTGGGGTTGGAGTTGGGGATTGGGTTTTGGAGATGAGGGAATTGATAATATGGAGCGGAGCTGTATTCTCCTTGCTGCATCGCTGATTTCAGCTGCCTCTTTCAACTGTGGTAGAAATTGTTTATTTTGCGAAGAGAAGACGACGATGAAAACGCGACCCAAAACTAAAACGCTTTTGGAAAAAGGAAGGAATATTGGGAAATCTTGTATATATTGCCGCACACGCAAGTTTCTGTACTCCCTAGTTTGCATAAATTGGCAACTTTTCTTTTTTTCTTTTTCTTTTTAGATTTCTTTCATAGATTTCTTATGCACTAAGGAGGCGTTTGGTTGAGGAGAAATTTTTTGAATACTAGAGAAATGTAATTGATAGGGAAATGGTAAGAAAGTGAGATAGATAGGAAAATGTAAAAAAAAGTTGTTTGGTGGGAAAAAATTTTACTGGAGAAATTAGGTAACTTTTGTAAAGTCTATGTTTGGTTATAAGTAACATATAGATGGAAAAATGCGTGTGAGTTTACAAAATTAACCCTGACTTGATAAATTAAATTTTGAAAAGAAATAGACCTGTTACCCGTAACGTACGTCCATAAACTTTTGTAAAAAGGAAAGTTTGTGTTGCCAATGAAATTTCGGAGCTGTGTTTGGAAATAAGCTTGTATGTGTTTCCGCTTCTCAAGCACGACAAGATTTTCGTCGACATAGCACTCCAGACAGTCAGTGAAGGCATACAACCAAGGTTTTAAGAACTGCCTCTGCATTGCACCGTTTTTTCAAGTTGGGGTTCGACTTCCATTGACGCACCGGAAGGAAAGAAAGGGCATTTGATATGCTTGCAATTGTTTTATAAAAATTGGTCGACCATCACAAGAGGTTACGCTCATCTTTTTTTCCCCTTATTTGGTCATGGGTTCGTCGTTGTTGTGTTCCAAATGGGTGTTGAATTAATGTATCCAAGAACCCTAACTCATCTTCATCTACGTTCTTCCTCTGTAATAATGTATTAAAAAGAGGAAGCTTTCACATTTGTATGTTCTGCTTTCACATTTTCCAATTCTGCTTTCACAAGAATCATTTGCTTGTTCCTCATTTGCGCTTTCTTACAGTTTTGGTTGTGTCTCAGTTACACAGTTAAGCATGTTGTGTTGCGTTATGTTACGAGTCTCTCTTTGATTTGTACCGAGGGAATGGCCCCGTATACATTGGTAGTACTTATAACTCAGAATATCACCTATTATACTTTGAAAAAGTCACATTTATTACTATTCTGCTTTGAAAAATATTGTCATAACTTGTGTCTTAATTTGTGTCAAAACTTGTAATCCAGACACATAAACCCTGCAAATCATTGTAAAGACATCATTCAAAATAGGGAAAAAAGTTTGTCATAACCCTTAAACGTACACAAGCACGTAACACTATAACCTGGTTGAAAATGACTTGTGATGAACATAAGAAGGTAGGAAGCAGTGATTGTTGGATTAAACTTTCCTTATGCTGAATAGAACTAAACTAATAATGAATACTGAAATGTAAATTTAGGGTTCTGTGAGTTCTTATAAATTGAATTATTGAAATTATAATGTTGGGATATCTTTGTTGATTGAGTTTTGCATTATAGTATATACATTTTTGTTTGTTTGTTGCTTATAAGTTTAACTGAAGTGGACATTTGTGTCCTTCTTGTTACGGCAGTAACCAAAACTTAAGTGACTCGTGGGAGGAGTCTTGGAATCGAGTACAACACGACCATTGACGGAAGCATGGGTGGACCTCCATCGGGTGTAGGTGGAGCTGAAAACGTCATCTCAAGGCATTCGTCGTCCTTATCCCCTTCCAGGGTGAAGATGTGCTATTACGGAGTGACGGCTGCGTTGCGAATGTCAAATACACAAAGGAATCCCGGAAGACAATTTCTTCGATGTCCTAATTCCAGAACACAGCATGATTGCCATTTTTTTGAGTGGTTTGAAGAACCTAGTTGTCGCAATTGTGTGAAGTTGGAGAATAAGATTAAATCACAAAATGTCTTGCTAATTGTAATTGTGATAACATTTGGGATCGTAATGACTGCAATGTGTATATTTGGTTGACTTGTATTGTTATGGATTGTAAGTGGAGTATGGACTACCATATGTCTAGTTATGTTGTGTGTTGTTGTAATTTAGGGTAACAGTGGTCGTGGATGTTGTTAAAAGTACCATTTTATTACCTTTTTTTATTCTGCTCTATGGAGAAGTTTGTTATAAAAGTGTTATATGATTGTTGTATATGCATAAATAATTTGCTTACATATAAGATTGTGGCATATTTGATGAGAGACTGTCTTGGTCTGCATAAAACGTTGCAGGTGGACTTGGAAACTGAAGAGCCTCAAGCTCAACAAAGTGAACAAACAACTGATGCAGATGAAGAGTAGTTTGTTCGTGTAGCATTTCAGTTACAAAAAATTTGTAACTTTGGCGAGCAGTTTCTAATAGTTGGAGATTATCCTAAGCTTGGTTCATGGGACCCTTTGGATGCATTACCAATGACCTGGTCTGATGGACATATATGGACTGTTGAACTGGTGAGTAGAATCTTTTCCAAATATGAAAAGAATTGATTGATTGACGGTATACTTATATAAATGCTGTTTTTGCTTTTCATTATGTAAACAGGATATGCCTGCTGGAAAAGTCAATCCAATTCAAGCTCATACTGAAAGGAAAATGAGGTGATATTATTTGGCAACCAGGCTCAGATCGAATAATTAACACTTGGGAAACTATGAATAGAATAACTGTTTGTGAGGATTGGGAGAATGCTGAACTTCAGAAAATAATAGAGGAAGATCAACTTACTCTATCAAATGAAGAACCCCGAGTTGACTCAGAAGTGTCAAGTTTTGCTGGAATTATGGATAACCCTCAAGAGGGATTGGAATCTGATGTATCTAAAGTATCTGGCATTGAATATATCCAAACTAATTCAGAGGAGAAACCACTTGCTGAACCAGTCTTGCAACAAATCACTGGTGATACTGTTACTTCCTCAATGGAGAAGTCAATGCCTATTGTTGCAGAGAATATAGGTTCCTCAGAGGATCTCATCAAGAGTACAAGTCACCAAGAGAATGAAAAGAATATGATTCATTAGAGTGAAGAATCTGCAGATAGTCTCAGAATTGATTGTTCAATCAAGGAGGGACATTGTTGACATATAATTTGGAAGGACTCTTCCGCTCTTTATAATGAACTAGTTTTATTTACTATCAACTCTTCAGTTTTTTAATTACATCTTCAAGTATCTGCTATTTCTTTGGCTGCTTTATTTGATAAAATTTGTGTGGCATATCAATGAAAATAGTAAACAGAGGAGCTCTTTGTTCCTCTGCCTTTGAATGAGTGTGTTATTTCCATTGTCATCATTACAATCCCATTTTATTCTTCAGGTAACTCTCCTTGGTTACAATCACAAGTTAAGGATTCTACTTGAAACTTTAGTTCAAAAGATTGCAACATTCGGAGTGAAAACTGATAGGTTCTCAGTTATCAAGGTACTATATAAAGCACTTCTCATATGACATTTGGTTCAAACATCCTTGTCCTTTGAGGATTGAATTGATTTTTCATAATAAGACAATATGTTAACAAAAGAGCAAGAGCTCGTGTACAATATTTGTTCTATAATTTATGTATGTCATATTTTTTAAAATAAAAAAGTTGTCTTGATTTTTGTATTTATTTAATGATTTATTTATTTATCTATTTGATATACCCTTTTATCAGGACATGGTAACCAAGGAATACGAGAATCTCAAGGACCTTTATAGAGTGTTATATAGCAGGTTTTTAGGCCTTTCAGTCCTTTTTTGGTTGGCTGAGTTACTTTTATTTCAATTGGATTGAAATTTTATGTTCAGGAAACATTGAAAGCCACGAAGCAGAATCAATGGCTTGGCACATGGAAGATGTTCTCTTTAAGTGTTCAAAACCACTATGCAGGCTTTTATTCTCATCTCAGCATTTGACAAATCGGGTTGTTAAGCTTGAAAGTGGCATGAATTATTTCTACCCTTCAGAATGTCTTAATCCCGATGATGAGAATTCTGCTTGCAAGCACTATATACAAGAAGAAGATTCTGAAGAAGAGAAAAATTCTAAGTGTTGAGCGCTAAAATGTCCATACAGGCGCCCTGTTACAGAAAGAAGCCAAAAGATGCTGGTCTGGAGCGCTAAAACGTCCATCCATACCGTTTTAGCGCGCTGCTGCACATCAAAGCCAAAAATATGCTAGTCTTCAGCGCTAAAATGCCCAAACAGAAGGTTTTAACGCTGAAGCCAGTTGAAAGTAGTTGAATGGATGTTGAAGATGGCGCTAAAACGTCCAGGAGGGAGCGTTTTAGCGTCTGTGTTAGTTTTGGAAGTTTTTCAGTTGCAACTTGTAATTTATATGGGGTTTTTCATATTATTTCAAGACAGATTATTCTTTTCAGTTTTTAGACATTTTTTCTCTGACTCCAGATTCTTAGGACTAATAATATAGTATCTAGTACATTTTTATGTAATTCTACTTGGAGATAAGTAAAAGGTTGATTAACATCACATGAAAGAGAATTCATCATATGATCAATTTTGCACATGAGTTTATTGTTGAGGAACATTGTTTTCTGACTACTTGTTTTATTAAATCCCAATTCATATTTTAGTATTATATCAAGTTACTTTCAAATCAATTTTCTGGTGACAAAACATTCATGAATTTTACAAACTCTTGTTTGATTCAGATTAGTTTTCTATGGTTAATTGGTGTTTGAATATAAATCTATGTGGGAACGATCTTTACTCATCATTATATTACTTGTACGACTAGTACACTTGCTAGATACGCAACACACCCTCATTGAGATAGTCTGTTGGGGTCGTACCTATTGAAGAGAACACATGATTCTGAAATTTATGAGCTCAATGTACCTGAAGATATTGATTTGCTCTTTCTTACGACTAAAAAAGAAGTGGGGAACACGAAAAATTGTCTGCCTTTGATATTGTTGGTTCCAGAAGCAAGTCTACCCAAAGGAATAAGAATTGGTGGCACAAGTAGAATGACTTTTAGTAGCATTGAATGATGTTTGTAATTGTTGTTACTGTAAATTACTTGCTTGTCATTGTAATTTCC